TATATAAGACACTATTTGTTTTATTTATATATATACTATTTTCCATTTGCCTTCTTGTGGTGGTCTTTTGTACTTAAAGGGACACTTTAGTGACCAGGACCACTAGAGCTTAATGTAGTGATTCTGGTGTCTATAGCCTGTCTTTGCAGAAAAGGCAGTGTTTACATAACTTACTAGGAACATCTCTAATGGTAGTAATTCAGATTAGAGATGCTTTCTGGGTCAGTGCCGCACAGTGAAAATCACTGGTATTCAGCGTCTCCACACTTTGCATGGAAGCACAGAACGTTCCCGTGAGATGCACTGATTTAATGTGTGACGGACCGCCTGGCACCTCGTTCGGGTACCACAGTCAATCGCTGCTTCCTAGTAATCCTTGAGTACCATATGCACCGCACCGGACACCATAACCACCGCACACCCCACAAACCGCCACAGCTTGGTTGGGGTCTCGCTCTCCTCCACCCACCCTGGACCCAAGACCAGGATCCAGATTCCAGTGGGTAAACCTCTCCTAGTCCAGAGAGCAAAGCAGGCTGCTCTTACAAGAGCAATCGTTGTAAGCCAAGGGAGTATAGTGATTATAGCTATTCCAGAGTGAATATAGCTCTCCAATCCCCCAAACATGAGCCTAGACTTCATGAATGATAAAACTAATCTCTTTAATGGCAGCCACAACTGGCCTTATATGCAGGTCCCCATATCCAAAAATCACCCAGTTCGATTCAGGGGTTCTGGATTTTCATGGAAGTCAATTATTTGACCGACCGTGCACATGGTCCTATGCACAAAACCGTTCCAGGGAATCAGGGCTAACGGTCGGTCTCTCTTTCTGGAGTAAAAAAGTACAGAAATCACATTAACGGAGCCTTTTAAAGTGCATTGGGCAAAGTATATTGCACAGTCCTGAGGCAGGAGGCTGGCAATCAGGCTCCTCCAGAAGCACGTGGCAAACAACCAGACCACAGGGCGTTGGTCACATAATGCATCTCTGAGAAGGTGCTGATTGGCGCAGCACTTTTTCCTTAGGGACAAATTTGAACAGCCTATTTAAGCTGTGAATACCTCTCTGACAGCAGAGTACAGTAATGCCGTGTCACAAGCCTCATGTGTGACATAAATTGAAATAAAAACAGTATCAGCGCTTAGTTAATATACCCCTATTTTTTGTATATGGGTCAACAACAAAAATATATTAAATAAATTAAATAAAGAGTCCCAGTTTCAATCTTCATGGGGTGTTTTCAAATGTCCGCAGGGATTTGATAGTTGTAACAGTAATTGGTGTAAAAAGACTTTGTCTTTATATGTATCCAACCTTAAATCAAAAAGATACTGACATAGCGTGATACAGTTACAATACTTTATTTCCCATACGGTAATCCCCCCATAAGAGGAACTCTTACAATTAAAAGTGGTGAAACTTATTTCTAAGGTTCACAATAAAAACGTAGAAATGCAGAATATTGGCTGATGAATATAAAGTTACGTGGATGTTATTTCCAGACCGGTCCTGTGCACTCAGATCGATCCTCACTGAGAAGCCAACTAGCCAATCTTACTGCAATCTCTCCAAATTCAAAAATCCCGCCAGAAACACGATCTACGCGTTTCACTCATTCAAATGAGCTTTCTCAAGATACCTTGAGAAAGCTCATTTGAATGAGTGAAACGCGTAGATCGTGTTTCTGGCGGGATTTTTGAATTTGGAGAGATTGCAGTAAGATTGGCTAGTTGGCTTCTCAGTGAGGATCGATCTGACCGGGGCACAGGACCGGTCTGAAATAAAATTGTAACATCCACGGAAGGTTGGATACATATAAAGACAAAGTCTTTTTACACCAATTACTGTTACAACTATCAAATCCCTGCGGACATTTGAAAACACCCCATGAAGATTGAAACTGGGACTCTTTATTTAATTTATTTAATATATTTTTGTTGTTGACCCATATACAAAAAATAGGGGTATATTAACTAAGCGCTGATACTGTTTTTATTTCAATTTATGTCACACATGATGTTTTAAAACTTGGGAAGGTTTTTAGTGTATCCGGCAGCTTTGTATTAACTTTTTCTTGTGGATAATCATAATTTGAAGCACCTGCTTAGAAAATCCACTATTTTATTGATATACATATTCTTTTTTTGCGCTCTCTATAAACCTGTTTTTTTCACAAGCCTCATGTGTGCTGTTATTTTTTTATAGATCAAAGAATCCATGGACATCTTCATGTCACATGACTGGCCTCGAAGTATTTACCATTATGGCGATAAGAAGCAACTGCTGAAGAAGAAAGATTTCTTTCGACAAGAGGTGGAAAATAATACTTTAGGGAGTCCAGCAGCCTCCGAACTTCTTAATCATCTCCAGCCTTCATATTGGTTCTCTGCCCACCTGCATGTCAAATTTGCTGCATTTATGCAGCACCAGGTATGCACATATAACAAAAACACATATATATTTTATTACCAGACAGTATTTAAAGGTATATGAACAGAATATGAGCACACTGGTTTACAAATGGGAGCATAGAAAGAGCACACTGGTGGATGGAAGGTTTTGAGATGCTTTTGAATACAACAATAAACCTCCAAAACACACCTTAAATATGCAGAATAAAAGATCAACGATTGAACAAATATTAAGTGCTAAAATTGACTTGAAACTAAACTAAGCACTTGAACAAATAAATAAAAAGGGAAAAACATCAGTAATTAAATGGAAAATAAGTAGAACATAGGAGTGACTATCACAAATTTGAAGATAACCCCAGGAAACAGTAGGGATACTGTTATCAGGTGGTTACTACTGCATATGAAGGCAAATAAGACTGTTTTGTTTTTTCTATAGTATTCTTTATTTTTTCACAGAAAAGGTAGTAGACAAGTGCAAGTCAAATAATAACAATAAGAGCATAAAATATAATACGGGAGTTTCAATTCACTCCTAGTCAAAGGTTGTATGATACATATGAACATTAATCATAACTTAAGTCATCACAAGGACCCCATTGGGGTACGGAGTGAGTATAGACAGATTGAGCTAGACCGTAGGCTGATCAATCTTCCATGTAAGAGGCCATCTTCAGACTACTCGGTGCCCTGCACTTATCTTAAGAAAGTGCTGATATTTACCTCTTGCTGGGGCTTCTCCAATGTTACTCTTGCGACCTATGATCGTAGAAGCATTACTTGAATGTAACAGACAATGGGAGCAAAACAAAAGTAAGAAAAGAACTTTAAAAAGCCAAACCTGCTCAGAGAGAGTGCATCCATCCACTACAACAGCTTAAATCCGCATTCTCTAAATTGTTTTTAATGCAGTGGCATAAAGAAAGATAACCTGTTATCATTTCTAAACAGATGATCGATCCAAACAAATGTCATAGTATTTTTTTTTTAACTAAATGAACCTGTGTGAGAAATTTCATGTATGTTAAATAGAGGCTATAGATGTTGGTTAATCGGTGGCATTAAACTTTCATTTCAATCCAATTTGACCTGTCCATCTTCTTACAGAGTAATGTTGAGGGGCAACTGCCCAAGGCAACAAAGTTTTTAGCACTTGATAAATGCCTGCCACATCGGGACTTTCTTCAGGTGAGCAAATTCCTTTCCATACATATTTTATAGCCCTGTCAGATCTGCTAATGTACATGATTAATGGTTAATTGGTTATTTTCATTTATTTAATTCGCCTTTGAAATCAGATTGTGGATGTGGAACATGATCCCACTAAGCCTGACTGCCTGGAGTATGATCTGGAATGGTTGGCAATTCTCAAGAATTGTAAAAGTCTTCTAAATGTGACTTCGCAAACATGGAACATGCCGGAAAACAATGGTCTCCATACTAAGTAAGTCACTGCGTGAGAAGTCTTTGTTGCGTTGTTAGAGTATCTGTATGAACAATAATGAACTTCAACGTAATAACCAGGTTCTATATGTACAAAGAGACTACTTCCTTGTGTACGCAAATATTTGAGGTTACAAACAGTCAATAGGGTACTATTGCATTCCTACTAAAATAATTGGGAATTGGCTGAAATGTCTTTATAGTCACCATAATTAATTTAATAATGCGTGAAAAAGTAGTTTGATTAGTTTCCTACTGGAGTGCATGTTTAAAGGGTTACTCCAAGCACTATGATCACTTCAGTGAATTGAAGTGATTATGATGCATGAAGTCTGTATGTGCAGTGTTTTGCTATGAAATACTTCATGTACAGAGTTTAACTTGCCGTCTGCAGAAGTTGTAACTCCACCTCTGGACAAAATAGGAGAGCACAAATCTTAAAAATAAATATAAATGAAAATGTGAGTAAATTCAGCAGCTAGACACAAAAATCCTTAAAAACTTTACACACACTATATAAACAAAATAAAGTGTCAGCGCTATACTTGAAAACCTAATTTAGGTGATCACTCTCAATCTGAAGTAAAACACTTATAAATGCAGATTCCTGGAAATACTTCCAAGTGCAATAAAATACAATAAAACAGACCACCATAAGTGTAGTACTCAAATAATCATAACAAGTCTTGCTACAGGGTCCAATAAATCTTGGGTGATGATCTTTTATAGGGTTAAGATTTGTCTTGCAGCAAAGCCAAGTTTTATGGTCTATTTTGCATTGAACAATTTTTATTATAATTGTACTTATCTTTCATGCCCCATAGGATCTTTGTATTCATAAATGGTTATAATGTTTAAAGGAACACTATAGCCACCTAAATTACTGTAGCTAAATAAAGCAGTTTTAGTGTATAGATCATTCCCCGGCAATTTCACTGCTCAATTCAGTCATTTAGGAGTTAAATCACTTTGTTTCTGTTTATGCAGCCCTAGCCACACCTCCCCTGGCTACGATTGACAGAGCCTGCATGAAAAAAAAACACTGGTTTCACTTTCAAACAGATGTAATTTACCTTAAATAATTATATCTCAATCTCTAAATTGAACTTTAATCACATACAGGAGGCTCTTGCAGGGTCTAGCAAGCTATTAACATAGCAGGGGATAAGAAAATCTTAATTAAACAGAACTTGCAATAAAGAAAGCCTAAATAGGGCTCTCTTTACAGGAAGTGTTTATGGAAGGCTGTGCAAGTCACATGCAGGGAGGTGTGACTAGGGTTCATAAACAAAGGGATTTAACTCCTAAATGGCAGAGGATTGAGCAGTGAGGCTGCAGGGGCATGTTCTATACACCAAAACTGCTTCATTAAGCTAAAGTTGTTCAGGTGAATATAGTGTCCCTTTAAGATTTGTCTTAACATGATTGAAATGGTTAATTGTGTTTTGTCTGTGTACCAAGAATGTTCAGATATAGACAACACCCTTTATTGAATAATTAAACAAACAGACATTATACTAATTCACTAGACAGGAGCATATATAAGAATGCCCCAATGAACTATTACACTATCTTGAGAAACGCATCAAAGTGTAAACAGCGTCCTGCTGTCAGAGGTGGATGCATGTCTAATGGTCAGCATTGTTTGCCAGCCACAGCCTCCTCTCCGTTTGAATATTCATTCCATCAGCACTGAGATCGGACGGTAACGGCTGCCAAGCCTCTGTGTATTTTAAAGTTTATATCGTGGTGTCTTGTAAACGAGTACCACAACTTGATGATGGAAGGGTTTTGTATGTTAACTTGATTAAATTGCAGTACTATGCTATGATAGGTCTTTATCATTTCAAGGTTAAAAGCCCACAGTGCAACAATGTATCTACAGATGCTGTGACATAGCTGCAAGACTAAGCTTAACCCTGTAAAAGATCATCACCCAAGATTTATTGGACCCTGTAGCAAGACTTGTTATGATTATTTGAGTACTACACTTATGGTGGTCTGTTTTATTGTATTTTATTGCACTTGGAAGTATTTTCAGGAATCCGCATTTATAGGTGTTTTACTTCAGATTGAGAGTGATCACCCAAATTAGGTTTTCAAGTATCGCGCTAACACTTTGTTTATAACTCCACCTCTGGCAGAGTCATTGAGGCATCATTAGTTGGGCTGGCTAATATCAATTCTTGTTATATTGGACGTCTGATGTCAGCAGACATGGCTGGTGACAATCGTCCAATGGTGGCATCACCCTTGTTCTCCCCTCAGCCATTCTCTGCTTGGGAGAGCGTGACCTCAATGAAAGCAGGTCAGTCTCATAGGAGAATTTAGCATTGGCACTGGTACAGAGGTAAGTTCATGCTTTTTTAGTTTGAGGGGTGGAAAGGGACCAAGATATTAAGTCACTCTAACAAAAACCACTGTTTTTCTTAAAACACTGTTATTGGTTGGAGTAAACCTTTAATCTCTTCATTAGAAGGTATTTTGAAGGATATATATATATTTTCTTCTAAATCAGCAATCTGTAACTTGGCCATGCTACATTTGAGGTTTCCAAGTGACTTGTAGCTTGAGTAAATTCTCCATATTTGTATAATTCGTTGTTGGGTACAGAAAATGTATTAAGGCGCACACTCCGCAAGTGTTTACATTTGTTTTACTGTTGCTTGTGTTAGTGTATCAAACTCTGAGGTCTGACGTGCACTCAAAACCAAGAAAGTGAAGGACCTTACTAAAAATCAACAATGGGGAGAAAATCTGAAGTGCTTAGATCCTTACTTTATTTGCAATTGCTCAGGGTTTTTCCACCCTGGGTCCATGTTTGTAACGTTTCATTTCCCATAAGTGTGCAGTCCCTCTACTCTGAACTACTATACAAGAGGGGGGATAAAAAGGAAATTAAATCTTTAAATACTCATAAGGTAATAATAAAGCAGCTTATCTTCCAGTTACAGGTACTTTAGCAATGCTTAATTTTATGTCCCCTTCAATTTTCTCAAGACCATACAAATGAATAAAAGAAAATGCATACAAATCTTACAAAAGAAAAAAACTGCACATTTAATAAATAAATCTACTTGACCTTCAAGGCAAAAAACACATTTATGTATTTTTTAAGGAGTCTATTTAGCCTTGAGGATGAGAGGACCGGGCAGGTTGCTGTTAACTTTTATCTGTGTCGGTATTTTTTGTTATCCCTTTGATTTGTATGGTTATGAGAAATGTGACGTAGAAGAGAGCATTGGTGAAGTACCCACAAGTTGGAGGTATATCCTCTATCAATTATTTCCTTGTGAGTGCAATATATAAAGTTCCCAATCCCTATGCATACAATACTACTCAATGTATTTTTTTTTTTTTTATCCTTGTAGATTTTGTGGTGTTATCGATTTCTAGTATGGAATGGGTTCCTTAAAGCGTGAAAAAAAAAAAATAAATATATATATATATATATATTCCAGTTTGGCTTTTTGCCCTAAAACTTCTAATTGTCTTATCACATCACAAAGAAATGTATGACCGTTTTGAAAAGTTACATCTCAAACTACTAGATCCTTATGCTAAGTAATATTGTTACTTTTTGGTATACATTTCCAAATGACAATTATTTATTTATTTTAGATGGGACTTCAGTGCTACTACCGAATCCAGAAAGGAAGTTCTAAATGACCTTGGCCAAGATCTTCGCATCCCTTGCAACTTTAGTGCTACCATAGCCTGCTATGACCCCAACAAACCTCAGCACAAGAGAGTTGCTTCCCATATCATTAACCCACAGACAACAGAGTTCTGTGCCCTCTTGGGACTTATTGACATTAATGCTAAAATACGACAGAATGACGAGGGTGGAGACTTTGAGGCCACAGAGGAAAATGATGCTGACAGCACTAGTTCACTAGACGATCCTAGTGAATACAGCACAGATGTCTCTGTTCTATCTTCTTCTATTAACCCTGATGAGATCACTCTGGATGAAGATGAGGTTGAGGAGGATATACCAGTACAATCAGTGGAACCTTCTCCAGAAGACAACAATGATCTCGCAGTCAACCTCTCAAAGACTCATGTCTTATCAGACTCAATGGCTGTTTCTTCCGATGATGCAATGGATTCCACAAATGATGAGCTAGACCGATCAGAAAGCAGTCAAACAGAGGGGGAAGGGAAATTCATAGACAAACCGCTAAAGAGATTAAGTGATGAGAGTGGCCGTGGCATTGTGAAAATTAAACGCAGGAATCAGGCCATTTATACAGCAAATGATGAGGAGGTTGAATAGATGGGCTTTTTAACTTTTTATTTTTCTTTTGAGCTATTTTGATTTAGTTTAATGGTTATGAATACAATTCATTTTGGCTAACATACAGTTCTTTTTTAACTTTTTTTTTTTCTTGGATTTAGGTTTACAGTACATATGTGGTATAAAAACACTATATTAGTTTTGAGCTTAGAGTTCACATTTTATTTCATCGTATTCCTTCCGTCCTGCCTGTTGACTGCTTTTCATTGGGTAAAAATAATTTTAAGTATGTTTTATCTTATTTTAATTCTTCAAATGCTTTTTGTTTCCCATGTGGAAACACCTCCTGAATAAACAAGGGGTCTTACAAATGACGTATCTTGTGCTTTTGTGAAGTAACACTTGACATGTATTTTAGAAATGTATTAATCTATTTTAGAGAGGAAAATGGTAATGTATGTCTATCTTCTGAGTATTCCCATATGCATTGATCCGTAAAAGAAGTGTTTGCTTGTAAATAACCTCTCTTGTAATTGGGAACTAATGAATATATTGGGAATGTTGTAAACTAGCTTACAGTGAGACCGCATTAGTGATCTCACAATGTTTTGTAGTAATTATGATTCTTGGAGTATCCCTTTTTAAATAGTCACTCCAAACGCCATGATTACATCAGTTTTTTTTTTTTTTTTTTAAGAAGGTCATGGAGGTAGGAGATTGCAGGCACAGCCTCCTGATCCTCTCTGTTTTAAATATTTTAAACTCCCTCCATTTGCCAGCTCAGAACATGCGCATGCGCTTTGAGATGGCTAAATTGCCTAATCAAAGACTTCTATATTAGAAGCCTGTGGACACGCGTTGGCTGCCATGACGTCAGGAGGTTTTGTGGAAAGCCACACTGGGAGCTTCACCTTGCGCTAGATTTTAGGTGCTTCAAACTCTTTATATAGAGATCTGAGGGGGATGACACAAAGAATAATGCCCAATATGGCATTATTCAATGGTGGTGTTTTTTTTAATAATTTTTTTTAAGGGTGTCAGTAACCCTTTAATGGTTCCCTACTCAAGCCTAAAACAGATTTTTATTTTTTTTATTGTAGAAGCCCTACATTTCCATTGCAGTCGGGCTTTGGGAAGAATCAAATGAAACTGCTTAATAAAATTTTTCTTTGTACAAATTACAACTGAATAATTAACTGAGCTATAATTGATGATGAATGAGTTGGCAAGCAAATGCAAATATGGTTGAAAACCAGGGATTGTAGACAAGAGGCACCTTATGTTGGCACTCAAAGGAAAACAAGCCTGTATTCCTACCTTTACAATGCCAGTGTAACTAATTAGATTGAAGGCCCCCCTTTTGTGGTGTTAAAATGTTTTTGACTAACTTTTTTTATTTTTTTTTACAGCATTGAGACTTTCTCTGCAGTCACCAGATCTGCCTCCCACAGCATTCTCTTCACTGTCACTGGTTCAATTCACTACTCCATATTGAGGAGCATTGGGGACCTAATGCACATATAATCTAATAGAATTTAATGCTTTCCAATGAACTGCATTTGTTGACCTTCTGATATTCTCCGGAACGCTAAACATCACATGATGGAGTCAAATGTTGCTGTTACAGCAAAAGCGTCTCAAGAGGCAAAACGGCAATGTTTTACTTTGAAGCGTTAACTGTAGTACCACTGCATTGTGATGAAGTGGTCTGGGTGACTGTAGTGGTCCTTTTTAAAGGGGCACTATACTTGTGAGAACAACTACAGCTTAATGCAGGCATTTTGCTGTAAACCCTGCCTTTTCAGAGAAAAGGCAGTGTTTACTTTGCTCCCTAGGGACACCTCTAGTAGCAGTCACTCAACCAGCCACTAAAGGTGCTTCCTGGGTCAGTGCTGCACAACTTTTGCTCTGCCCCTCCCCCACCTCCTTGGCTGAGACCATCAAAATTGATGATCTCTGCCAATCCAATGCTTTCCTGTGGGAAAGTATTGGATTGGCTGAGATCATTAATTTTGATTATGTCAGCCAAGGAGGCGGATCAAGGACAAGGCCAGCACAGGCAGACCCTACAGCGCTGGAATGAAGGTGAGTAAAATTATTTTAAGTTGGACTATAGGGTCAGGGATAAACAATTGTATTCATGACCCTATAGTGTTCCTTTACGTTTGTAGATGGATAAGCATACATATATGTACTGGCTGAGGTTACATGGCTGTATCAGAGAGCCCTGGGGTGTCTTTTCAAAAAAAGTCTTCTGTAATTTTTGTAGTGTGAATTTGAAATGTTGGCTGCTGAAAATAAGATAAATGCCCCATTTATTTATCTATTTTAAACTTTAACTTGCTTGTCCCAAATAAGATAAACCTGTGGATGTGGGGTAAGGCTCAAAACGTTCACATATCATTGACCATACCACATATGTTATCCTCAATGTATGAGCATAAATGACTCCTTGCATTTATTCTTATTCACAGACTCCGAAAGCAGGCTGTACTGGCTATGATGCATACTCTGTTCCTTATACATTCTGCTTATTGGAACCATGGGTTATATGTAAAGCTGGTACAGACACTTCTCACTTACCGACCGGGTTCCGTTCCTATGACCCAGTCGTAGAACAAATTGGTTGGTAAGTGAGGAGTTAAGGGATTCCCTGCTCTGCTGCGTTATTCTATGTTCGGGGAAATGTCCCTGAACATAGATGAATGCAACAGAGCAGGCAATCCCTCTTATCTATGTTCTGGGAAATTTTAAATTTTAAAAAATGAAACTTCAAAATTAGGATTACAAACATTTGGGCCAAACAAAAGTGTTCCATCTATTTGCACACTAACTCATCTAGGATGGTACTGTTAGACTGGTCTATCTAGGTTGTCATTTACTTTTGTTTATTATTTATATAGCGCTATCATTTTCCATGGCGCTGTACAATGGGTTTAATAAACAATATTACTTTTTTTCAGGGACACTATACTTTATTTATGTTTTTATATATTTTGTACTGCTCACTTCATATGCAAAACCGAGAGAACACTGAGGTTTGTGTAGAGCCCAGTGGGGAGCAGTCTACATGCCAGATTAGGTAGACTGCAAATGTTGGAGGTCCTTGAGTGCTAAGGGGCTGAGAAGTTAGGTGTATATTTTTCCGCTCATTTAGCCACAGGTCAGTGTCTGTAGTCACTATGTATTCTATTATCTTTTTATTGCATTGGAATTTCAATAACATTACAAATAAGTCTAAGTTTGCATAGAAGGATTCTTACTACGACAGTCTGGTTTTAAAGTATATTAATAAATGCTAAAAACTAATTGTAGATTAAAATCCTTTTTCCTGACCATTATTCATGGCAGCATTTACTCATGGGTTAGCTCCTCCCCTCACAGCAGAAAGGACAGGAAATAGAACTTTGAAACTGGTATAAATAGATCCTCCCCCTTCTCATCAGGCAGTCTTTTTTTTCCTGTCCTTCACAGCAGTTTGGAAGGAGTCTGCTTATGTAGGCCTATTTTTTTTCTTTTATTCTCACCAGGCCCTTAAGACCCAACAAAATGCACTAAGATGACGTGGCTAGCCTCGCTACCTCTTTTTAGTGACCGGGGGTCAGACCCAACCTCTACTTGAAAGGGATGAAAATGGTGGACTGCATGCTAGGGTTCAGCCTCTTATCCCTGAAGACCCAGCAACAGGCTAGCTTGGGTACCCCCACAGGGGATGTGATATACTGCCTACATGAAGCCAGGCCAGGGTTCAGCCTCTTATCCCTGAAGACCCAGCAAACAGCATATCAGTAAGAGTTGCCAGCCTGGGTACCTACATCAGCAAACAGGGGTCTGTCCTATCTCTCTCGGTAGTGATGACAGTAGTCCACTGCATACATGAGGCCCAGCCGAGTCTAAGCTTTTATCCTTGAAGACCCAGTAAACAGCACTTCCATAGGTGACTACCAGGATATACCTATTCTATGTATTCCACCTTGTATGGTGATGCCGAATGGCATATGGGGTACAGATGGAAGCCTACAGTTTAGGCCGTCAGTTGTTCAAATCCCCATTTTGCCACTGAAACACAGGCCTGCAACGGTTCAGGTAAGTGCATTAGTAACAACAGTCTCTAATAAATTTGATTATACTGTTTGGCATAATCTGTACTATTTACAAATGTAGGTACTGACGTGGTTGGCCTCCTTATAATTTAATAGTTGCCACAAATTCTACGGTTCATATTAATATTTATTTTCTTCCTCAACTAATCTGTGTATGATTCTTCTTGCCTTTGCCTAGTAATGTTATTGGTTTATTCCTCTCCTGTGACTGATCATTCCTGTATCAATTCATCCACGGTGTGAGGTATTGTTGTGAGTCTGATTTTTTTTTTTGCAACATAAGGTTATTGTTGCAGTGTTTTAATAACAGACTCTTATTTCTCTACTAGGCTCTGCCTCTTTCTGACAGGCAGATATTGATTTGTTCCTGTATCTTCAGGTAAGTAGTTCACTAGGCAAGAGGAAGCAGTGTGAATCGTATTTAATAAATACATCCAGTACGTAGTAGGATTCTCAGTGTAATTCTCCCCGTGTTTAATAGCATGGTGTGTCTGTTCTCATCCAACATTATCTGCTTGTTCCAGTATGATCTCTGGAAGTTATGCCTTTGTCGAGGTACTGATTTGATGATGTCAATTTGGTTTAAAATTTTATATCAGCATGACATTATCCTTCTCTAGCGTATGCTATCATGGCCTTAATTCCTATCTGACTCTATATTTATTCAGGATATTGAATGCCAGGAGGTTGCTGATCTTGCAGCCTCTAGGGAAAATTAACTTGTCTGAGCAGATTTTATGACAATATCCTATTGATTCTTGTTTGGCTTTGTAAAATCTTCTAAGATTTATACAGCTCAATAATGGTTTTATAGCTATTAGGTGTTTTTGAACTCTGGGTATTCCCCATGAGTAAATGCTGCCATGAATAATGGTCAGGAAAATTGTTTCATACTTACCGTCATTTTCTTTTCCTGATCATTATTCATGGCAGCATTATGTTCCCACCCATATTATGAGTTGTGAAGCTAGTTACAAAGACTGCCTGATGGGAAGGATCTATTTATACCAGTTTCAAAGTTCTATTTCCTGTCCTTTCTGCTGTGAGGGGAGGAGCAAACCCATGAGTAAATGCTGCCATGAATAAGGGTCAGGAAAAGAAAATTACGGTAAGTATGAAATAATTTTCCTTTAAGATTCTACCTCAAAATGTGAGGGATGGCCTACATTACTCATGTTTTGCCAGACTCCCAAGTGCATTCTCTGAAAAAGGAAATTGCTCATGTTTGGTTAAAATAGAGCTGGAACAGTCTTCCAAATCAGCTACACTTGCAGTTTTCTCATAATTTCTGAACATGTTCCCTAGTATATTCATGTCAAAATATGACTTTAGCATTCATGTTCGCGTAAATGCTAGAAATGGAGAGACCAAATACAACATGTCTCTTCCTTTCTAATAAAAACCACAATGCATGTTTTATTAATTTAACAAAGAGGAACATGTGCAATACAGTTAAATTCATAACAGGACATATAAAAAGGTACACAGACTTAGTCAAAATTAAATGTTTATAGAACAGAGTGGGTGTAATTTGCACTCAAACTATTTTAGAACAGTAGCTATTGCACAAACGGTTTTGAAATTTATCAAACTGACAAAGTATAACACGTCAGCTGGATTATTGAAAACACCACCTCAATGTTCCTTAATTATAGCACTATTTGAACGACCTGAGTTGAGGTGAGCTAGCATGTCTCGAAAACTTCCTCCATCGACCCATGAGAAGGGATCCTGAAATTCATTTTCCAACAAGTCTTTATTATTACATAGTGACGTAACAGTATAATCCTTTGATGGCAAAATGTTTCTATTTTCAAGTCGAGGCAACTTTTTCTTTGTGGTTGAAGTGGGCGCTAGAGGACGATCTCCATTTCGAGGAGGAGATGTGTCAGATATCAACATTTTCTTATTAGCCTTTAACTTGCCTCTCTTCCCATCTTTGTCAGAGTCTTCATCCTGATTTTTACCGACTACAAGCATGTATGGCTGTTTTGAAACGGTCTTTTTCTGTCTCTGTTTATTTGCATTGTAGTTAGTACTGGTTCTCTGCTGCTGTTTTAGAGGCACATTGCAAAGATTCTGCTTTGCCATTTTACATAGGAAAAGATTTCTGAAAAGAAGAGTGCATTTATTTACAGTCTCCCTAAACATTTCCTATCTAAAGTCTAAATCTCCTTTGTTGCACAGTCTCTTTAGAATTTATAATAGTTACTATGACAGGAGTACCTCAGCCCTGTTTTCTGGGAATGGGGCAAACCCCTTTGTGATGGATTACTCTTTTATTTGTGCCCCCTGGCAGTTATCAAGGGTCCTCCTGTGGCCAGTGATGACTTCTTGCTCTGCAGAGCAGCAGAAGCTAAGTGTCACTCCTGCTGGTCATTTATTGGCTGAGAATGTCAGCGGACCACTCTGGCAATTCTGTGCATAGGAATATGCACAGAATTTACCATATTCAGCCCGGTTCCAGGCTGGGGTCAGTCCAAGGCATGTGGTCTAACAATAATTGTAAAGTTGGTTCCTTGACCTTTCTTTTTTGGATGGATTACTTTTTAAAAAAAATTATGGTCGCAGGAGCTAGGACAATCATGAGCTGAGATATTGAGTTTTCTGCACACGTATGTGTAAACAAAATTTGTCATGTGCCATGACACAAAGATGGCGCCGGGTAAATAAATATCTAGTGGTTTTGCATTAGCAAAATATAGGAGGTAATCACTCAGAAAAATTAGGAAACTATAAAAACAAATACAATGACTAAGCAATCTATGCTGGACCACTTGAGATGGATTCACCATCTGGCTAATTAAGCACCTCTGATGCTTCCACATCAGGTGTTTTATTTTTCAATTTTCATTACAAAATAGAGATGTATGTTGCACTTTTGATCTTTTTACTTACCTCTGAAGGAATGAATGTGGTCTACTACATTTGAAGGATATTCTGTGAGTATTCATTGGCAGATTTAATTTAAGTGCTGCAATATTCTTAAGTGCTTTGCTAATAGTTCTAAGAAAAAGAAAAAAAAAAGTTCCTTATGTAGTATCTTGATATACTTGTAATTTGTTTCCACCTAAATAAAGTGTGTAAATATTTAGTAAGATCTGAAAGTTTTCTTTCCCTTAATTAGGGTTAATTTATTAAACTCAAATGTGTAGAATGGCAAGATTCATAAAAAAAATAACAGATCAGCTAGAGCTATCACTTCTCTTTACCCAAAAACTTGTAGGTTCTCAAATGCTGCAACCTTTGCCTACCCACCATTTCTACTCCTTTCAGTAGCATATAATGTAAACCAAACTAGTGTCATCAAAACATTTCATTAAAGATCATGATAAAATTTGTGGGTGTACATGCTTCCTTTAATCAGTGCAGCATGCCCATGATGCTTAATAATTATGTGTTAAATAATGTTCAAATTGTCACTGCTATCAGCTAAACTGGGTATTTGTAACAATAGGAAAAGGTTAGTTTAGAACAGATGAGATCATTTTGTCCTATAACCTGTTTCTTGTGTCAACTCTCCACAATTCCTAGGGGCTTTGTTAGCAGGGGCCCCTTACCAATTAATCATTTTACCTGCACTTTGCTTTCCCTACCAGGTCTCCTTAATGAGTGAGTAATAGAGTCAGCTGGGATGTGGAAGCAGCACAATGATAGCGAACAGGACACCATCATATTCCCTGTGTCTCTCTCATCCTCCTCCGGCTGTAACTCAAATGTGATTACACAGACTTTACACAAACTTCAAATGCACCACACTTAAAGGGAGACTAAAGTCAGTTATGTTCAAGTGAACCTGTCACTGTAAAATATGTTTAACTGAAATGTTTACATAGCAGGGTTAAATCCAGCTCTACTGCTGTCTAACAGCCATTAGAAGTGCTTCCATTGCACTGAGAGTAAAACTTGGTCATTTGGTGCGGAATCTCATAGGAAAGCACTGAATACAATGCTCTCCTATGGGGAATCTTGGACAAATTCACAGCACTCACCACTCATGATTACCAGGTCCCCAATGCTGGACTGTACCATTGTGGAGGGTGCGATGCACAACATTCTGTACACACACACACACACACACACACACACACACCTCTATATTTAAGTACACGGACAACACAGTAACATTCCACACAAATGCATCAATAAATTCATTTTACAGTATGGAAAATGTATTGCTGTAGAATTCTGTTCAAGTAATCTCTATTACATTACAATGTCTCATTGCAATAAAACTCAGTGAGGTTCATTGTTAATGTGTGTTTTTTTTAAACTATGCTCTACAGGGGTGCCCAAAAGGTACATCCCCAGAGGTTTTCAAACTACAGCTTCCATGATGCTTTGTCATTGTAAAAGCATTCTAGGACAACATCTGGAGATCCGCTCCTGTTGTAAAGCAATTAAATAATATTTTACCAAGGTTGTTCTGGATCCTCAAATACACAACGAAGCGCAGGGCTGGTGACACACTGCCAGCACTATACAGGGAAGCTTCTAACTAAGCCCTGAAAAAAGTTAACCAGCTGGCAACCTGCCTTCCTCCCTTGCAGGAAGACAACCTCCAAGGTATTTGGAAGGGAGTCAGAATTTTGTTTTAATCATATGTATGTATGTCTGTGACTTTGCCTGTCTTTCACTATCTGTGCATAACTGTGCCGGTCTATGTTTCGGTCTGTGCATTTGTGACTGTGTCAAGAGGTTTATCATGTAGGTGTTTGGGAGGTGCAGGGTGAGACAGTGGAGCTTCAACAATATGTGGGAGGGGTCAACAGTTGTGTTTTGGGGTCAACAGTTGTGTTTTGGGCTCAAACCCCAGGTATTTTTTTTTTTTTTTTTTTTAAGTCCAGCAATGCCCTTTCAGCATTATGCATCCAACCTTGAAAGATAATGGCAGGCTGAGAGAACTGACCTACGTCACCTTCAGCACTCACAGCATTTCATTGCAGTTCAAGGATGGAGGGCTTTGAAGAGGTAATTCAAATCAAGGAGCTGGAGAGTAATTCAAATCAAGGAGCATACTACACTTCTCGTGTTGTTTCTCAAACCTGTAGGCTGGAGAAATAATAAAAACAAGTTATTTCCGGCACTATACCTCTTTGTTCCTAAGTGTGGAGTAGTATCATTTTGAGGACCTGTGTTCTTCAGCATCCAATGGTCACTGCACCAATGGTTAGGATCTAGAACAAAGAGAATACAACTTTATTATTACTTATTTTTTTCCCAATAATGCATTAGAACAATAGTTATGATGTAAAAACCTACACAGACATCTCAATATTAGAAATTGCAGGTACCAAACTTATTTTGCTATGGAATGTTCAAACCTTTGTAGTTCTTGCTAAATAAATAAATGTTTTGCAGATTTATACACCATAAGCCTGTCTCATTAGCCCCTCCCCACCCCCACCCAGATTTCATTAAAAGACTTCAACATCAGTGTATGTACAAAGCTCACCTACTGACAGCATTTAGTGGGCAACTGAGACCCAGACACCTACACAAGCTGCTGTAATGATTATATAATATTTGTTCCATATGCCCATTCTGCATTTCACGCCCAAACTGCAGTATTTTCACATTTGTTACAAAAAAAAAATGTGGTGGTACTTAAGACTTAGTTCTCTGTAGGTTAGCTGTTCATATTTTATAGTAGGAAGCATACAATGAATGAAATTGAAGTAACTCTTGCAGTGCAATCCCTAGAAGGCTTCTATTTATTATCTTTTAGTAGACTACAAAAGACACAGGAAAGAAAGAAAGAAAGAGAGAGAGAGAGAGAGAGAGAGAAAATATGAGTATGTATGTAACATCTCAGGAGGGGGGGTGTAAGGGTGGGAAACTTACCAAATATTTTAAATAGTTTGATGCCTGTAGTTTTGTTTTTTATGACTTTGTTTTTAAGACTTTGACAACTTTTGCATAATAGTTGTTTCTCCACAACATTGCCAGGCAAAATATCCACGATACTATTGCATTCATCCTCATTGCTAGATCGACAGGAAAACGCATCTGTGTTGCCAAAAGATATATCACATATATCTTGGACTCCTGAGTCAAAATTCTCCTCAGAAGGCAAGTCTTCTTTCGGATGTGTGTTGCCCATAACATTAAAATTTACACTAACATACTGGTCCTCCACGCTCTGCTTTAGCTCACGTAAAATGGACTTGGAGCCTGATAATGTAGGATTTCCTTTTCCCGAAGATTTATCTCTGAGGAAGTTAGAGGAATCAGACGCACTTAATGTTATATTTTTTTCTGTTGTAGTAGAAGTTACGCTTATAGCCACAGAATGGCGTGACCTTTCAAATGCTGCATAATCGGTTCTTTTCTGTCCAAATGTCTCCTCTTCCTCATATTCCTTTTCTAGCAATGAGCGGTAACTGGCAAAAAACAAACAAACAAAAAAAAACGTTACAAGATCGTTTCACACTGCCCCTGTCCATCTGCTTCTTTTAGATTCTTCAAACAGGAAGCCTCTGACTTCTTACCTGTAGTGGTTTAACCCCTGAAGGTAAGTAGGCACCAGGGACCTCTTGACACCATAACTTTATTTCAATTAAGTTGTTAGAGTGTTGGAGTATTCCTTTACAAATAAGTTTATCCCATAAGGAAAGCATTGGATTGACTAAAATCGGCACGGGGCAAGGCCAAATGCCATTTTGGCCAATCAGGACCTCCTCATAGAGATGCATTGAATCAATGCATCTCTATGAGAAAAATTCAGCGTCTCCATGCAGAGCGTGGGGACGCTGGACGGCAGGGCTGCTTACTCTAAGGAGTGGCCACTTGGAGGTGTCCATAGGGGCAATGTAAACACTGTCTTTTCTCTGAAAAGGCATTGTTTAAATGAAAATGCCTGAAGGGAGCTATTATACTCACCAGAAAAACTACATTAAGCTGTAGTTGTTCTGGTGACAATAGTGTCCCTTTAACCCCTTAAGGACCAAACGTCTGGAATAAAAGGAAATCATGACATGTCACACGTCATCTATCCTTAAGGGGTTACAAAGTTTTTATTTCCTGCTCTGTAAATCAAACATTAATTACATACAAGAGGCTCCTGCAGAGTCTAGAAAGCTATTAACAGAGCAAGAGATAAGAAATTCAAATTAAACAGTATTTCTATACAGGAAGTGTAAACATTAGATGACTCCTTGCAGGAAGTGATGGAAGGCTGTGTAAGTCACATGCAAGGAGGTGTGACTAGAGCTGCATAAAAAAGTGATTTAACTCCTAAATTGTAGAGAACTAAGCACTGAGACTGCAGCGGCATGATCTACACACCAAAACTGCTTCATTAAGCTGAAGTTGTTTTGGTGACTAGAGTGTCCCTTTAAGTCAAAAATAAAATATTTCCGAGGGCTGGAAAACCAGCAAGAGAAAAAAAGAGCCAAGGTAACTAGCTCGGGCACCCTGGGGGGGCCAAGGGGTGTGTATACCCAGTGTTATGCACACCACCCTGTGTACTAAGGGTTATTATAGTATTGCTGTATACTCGGTGCTATGTCCATGATAATCCAGTACAAAGACTCACATGCTGTATATAAACAGTGCTGTGTCCATGATCATCTACAAAGAGTCCTGTGCTGTGTACAGTAAGTGTTACATGCCTGCAGATTCCAAATTCACAGCATGGGAGGCTACAATTGAAAAAAAGCTTTTAAATGCTTGTGATATAACCAGTGCTGTGCCAACATGGGGATTACCAAATATGAAATACAGTATTCCAAATGCATTTTGTGTTGGCTACTATACATAGGATTACATTAGTGTTCATGTAGTTTTGTCTGTAGTATATCCAGTGCTGTGTAGATCAGCCAAGTACATGTAAAGGTTTGCGTGTTTACAGAATACCCAGAGCCGTGCACAGCAGTGCTTCCTGTTTATCCAGCATAGTCCACCCCAATCTGTATACAGTACTGTTCATTTAGAGTTCTTTGAACATAGAGTGATTGCATTACAAGAGTAAACATTATGTTTTGTGTTCCTATGCAATCCTAACTGAAAAGACTGATCAGCGTACTTTGATCAAAAATATATATTTATGTATGTAATATACACTTGTTTCCCTTTTCATTCATTATATGGCTGTGTACTGCAATGAACATATTGGTGGTTATTCATTCAATGTGCAGTATATAACTTTTTAAATTTTTCTTTACCTTGTGGACAGTGCTTGCATGTGTGCAGAGCCACCCTTTGTGTATAGGGATACATTCTATAACACGCTCAGTACTTGGTATTCTGACTGCATAACAACCTATGTGAGCTTAATGGTTTTCATGTATTTTCCTTCTAAAGCACTGCTTTTAGATTCAAAATTCAAACTGCTTGTTTAATTTAATTAAAAAAAAAGTCTAATAATAAAATTATAGGGGGAAAAAAAGAACAACCTATTTTAAAGTCATTTTCAACACACACACGAAAATGACTTTTTTCTCTATATACACACACACACACACACACACACACACACTAGGGATCCACAGAAATTAAAAATTCAACTGCATTGAGCTGAAGTGGTCTGGGTGCCTATAGTGGTCCTTTTAAAATCACTACATGACTGCAGACACAGAGATCGAGATAGAGAGAGAGATAGATATAGATATATACACACACAAAAAAAATAAACATTCTGGGCCGAAACCGAAAATTCAGGATGCCCTTGGCCAATTATATATATTTTAATCTGTCTGCAGTCGTGTAGTGATTTTAAAAGGACCACTATAGGCACCCAGACCACTTCAGCTCAATGCAGTGGTCTGGGTGTCAGGTCCCTCTAGTTTTAACCCTGCAGCTGAAAACATAGCAGTTCCAGAGTGCTATGTTTCACTGAGGGTTAATCCAGCCTCTAGTGGCTGTCTCCCTGACAGCCGCTAGAGGCGCTTTTCACTGAAAATCACAGTGAGAAGAAGCTGGACATCCATAGGAAAGCATTGATAAGTGCTCTTGCAGCGCATGCGTGTTCAGTGCGGACGTCGGCAGGAGAGGTCACCAGCCTGGCGCTGGAGAAAGGCAAGTGGCTGAAGGGGTTTTACCCCTTCAGCCCAGCAGGAGTGGGGGGGACCTAAAGACCCTATGGTGCCAGGAAAACGAGTTTGTTTTCCTGGCACTATAGTGGTCCTTTAAGCGGCACTGTCACACCCATATTTGTATTTCATAAAGATACGCATTATGACAGTGTTGGAATTTCATTACCAATCATGTCAAGAAATATACAGACTACTTTATCTCTGTATTTCTCCTCTGCTTGACCTCTCGACACATGGCTGCACCTAAATTTCAATCCCTGCAGCAGTCATCAGTGACAGCTGCAAGGATTTCGCAGTGTCGTGGGATTCCCTATAGACCTTAATACTGTACTCTAACACATGGCCAAGAGTACAGCAGTGATATCGGCTCCTGGCGCTTTAAGAGGAGCAGCGTGATCAAGATGGCAGTGCCCACGAGCAACAAGTTCAGGTAAGTAATCTCACCCATACCTAACCCAAACAGCCATCGAAACACCAACAGCGATGTCACTGTCAGGGGACTTTGTAAATTCGGCAAAGTCCCTGGACGGTGACACACCAGCAGCGATATCATAGTCAGGGGACTTTGTAAATTCGTTAAAGTCCCTAGATGGTGACAGTGCTGCTTAACAAGTGTCTCACTCATTGTTGCCATTGAATGAGCGGTGCAAGTAAAGTTGATAAGGAAGTCTTCTTCTGGAGTGAGGTCTCACAGCGGATATAGATTATTCAGGAAACCACAAATTGTCAGGAGTTGACCTAGGAGATCTACTTTTAAAGACAACTAGACCCGCCTGAACAGGCCATTTTAAATTTAAAAAAAAAAAAAAAAGTAGCTGAATACCATGGGCAATTTGAGAGGGACACTCTGGACTCCAATATAATTCTAATAGCTCTGATGCCTGCTGGCATTATTAAAGGAACACTATAGTCACCTAAATTACTTTAGCTAAAGCAGTTTTAGTGTATAGATCATTCCCCTGCAATTTCACTGCTCAATTCACTGTCATTTAGGAGTTAAATCACTTTGTTTCTGTTTATGCAGCACTAGCCACACCTCCCCTGGCTATGATTGACAGAGCCTGCATGAAAAAAAAAACTGGTTTCACTTTCAAACAGATGTAAATTACCTTAAATAATTGTATCTCAATCTCTAAATTGAACTTTAATCACATACAGGAGGCTCTTGCAGGGTCTAGCAAGCTATTAACATAGCAGGGGATAAGAAAATCTTAATTAAACAGAACTTGCAATAAAGAAAGCCTAAATAGGGCTCTCTTTACAGGAAGTGTTTATGGAAGGCTGTGCAAGTCACATACAGGGAGGTGTGACTAGGGTTCATAAACAAAGGGATTTAACTCCTAAATGGCAGAGGATTGAACAGTGAGGGTGCAGGGGCATGTTCTATACACCAAAACTGCTTCATTAAGCTAAAGTTGTTCAGGTGACTATAGTGTCCCTTTAATTTGCTGGGGGGTTTTGTGGAGAGTTTTGCATATAATTTATAGATTTTTCACAAATAAATAAATGCTTTGCAGAATGACAGAATTCCATAACTGCATTCGGTTTAAACTAAGAATTCCAGCCTTCTATGTGGGCACAGAGTGCCAAGGTCCATTGAAAGCCCTTCCTCCATTATTCCCTCAGATACAGGCTCACTATTTCCACCCCCTGACTATTTCCCTCCATCCCTCTCTCTCGCCCCCTCTCTCTCTCTCTCTCTCTCACATACAGCTCCTCGAAGGTCTGGTTGATGTCCGATGCCGGCCGCCTCCGTTGTGTGGACCCAGGCGCAGGCCAAGTTCTCCGCTTCAGCCATGTCCCTCTTTCCCGCGACCACATTACTGCTGCTCTATCCACAGCTATGTGAGACCCAGCGACAACTCACCGATTGGCCAGCGCCTCCTTCTCGTCACTCCTGATTGGCTGAGCGAGCTCGCTCCTCCCACATTTGCTTCCCCGCCACTGGTAAAACAATCCGGCGGAGAGTTCTAAACACAAGAGACATAATGTGAATTCTAATCTGCCCCCGATTTTCCCGCTGCACCCTGCCTGTATATACATATATATTTATGTAATGCACAGTTTCATCCTTGTACAAGTGTTTTGGGTTCTATATTACTGTAGGGGTCCAGTACACTGGGAGCATTGTCTCTTGTGTTTGGAACTCTATTTATAGTCCAGGCGTGCCTGTAGCGCAGCCGCCTCTTTAAAGGGGCAGGATCTGCGTCTGGGATGTCATGGTAACCATGGGTTTAGCGTCATGGTTGCTAGGAAACGCAAAGTCTGGGTAGTAGTAGTAGTAGTGTGTATGGGGAAAGGTGTGCAAGCTACTAAAACTTACAGCCATGGCCGGGAAGAAGAAAGAAATCACCTTGCAGGTAGGCAGACATCCACACATAATCCTACAGGGTCTTAAAGCCTTACACTGCCATGGATTTATGCATTAACCCATTCTGCTTCCAGTGTCTCTGTGTATGTTCCACTGCAATGAACAATCAATGCACGCCAGTCGTTATGAAGTTCAAGAGCGTAGTTGCTTTTTTAATGCGGGCCCATCGTTTATATGAAACACACTTTTCTTCGGGGTGTATACAACAGAAGACAAAATCAACCAAATCATAGAAATTTCAGTGACAAAAACTATCAGTATTCATATAACATTACGTATTGCTGTTAGTCTACTGCGCATGTACACAAGGGACAGTAGCTTACTTTTAGTCTTACCTGCAAGGTTACTGCAAAAGCAACGTTTCAGAAGAAACAGCTGCAGGAACTGCTGACACAAACATGATTTAGAAATGTAGCTTTTAACCCCGGCAGATGTGGAAGGACCTAACTAGGGCAAAGGATTTTAACCCGTTATTTAACTGTATCTATGACAAGTCTCCTATTCTGGCGCTGCAGGTGAGAGTTAGACAATGTATATCCAGGTGTACTAATTACCCCTGTGGGACTTTTTCACCTCTATTCCCTTTGCCCTCTTCCACCCACAAAACCATACAAAGAGGGCCTGTACAGATATTTGTAGATACAGGATAATATATGTTATTAAATCCACGTCTCATTATGCAATACATCCATAGGTTAATGTATATATTTATTTATATAGCTCTGTATGTCTGGGGGAATATTCACTAAGCATTGCATAGGTAAAACAAATAATTTCCCATGAGCAGGGCTATTCACAAAAATGTGCATTGTTTGGAATTTAAATCAACAGATTCTGCATCGCTGTATAAAATAGAGAATTAATAGTGAATTACATATGAAAGGTCACAATAGCTAAACTGGAATAAAATTCTAGGTCAGATATGCTGTCAGGTCGGCCACTCTGACCTTAAATTTGATATGCACTTCGAATTGTCACGTTAGTAAATAACACTATCAATTTTAATCCACAATTGCCAAAGTGTTCATCTCGAACTGCAAACCTAGCCGACTTGGAGAATGTTTCCCGTTCAGTTCAACTAGTATATCCTAAATTGAAATTCACATTACATTCACAACAATTCTCTTTGTAGTGAAAAACCACGTAACCATACACTCCCATTATCTGCACTATACTCAACTTTCTTCATGCTCAGTCAACTGAGACGATTGGATATGGATGTTTCAGCTTAAATATTGGTGGGACTGGCAAATTCTAGCTTGAGGCAAGAACAATCAAGTGACCCACCTTCCCAGCCAATCTATTTCTAAATTGTATCTTTAGGTAATAGATGTGGAATTATTAGGAAGGTGATTCATTTTTATGATTAACTGGACTTGCTGCCAATGGTTTTCTTTATGGTAATATTATTAGGCGCATGTCTCTATTCTATGTAAAACACAGTGGATAAAGATTCTATCCTGTAGCATGGAAAGTATTTATCCAGTTTTTCTTTTTTTATGTCCATTTAATGTGCAGATGACCAACATAACTTAGTGTCACAAAAATGAAATTTCCCCTACATATACTGCTCGCAAACATGGAGCTGAAACATTGACATAGCAATAAACACTGGCATCCCACAACTATTTGTAGCCTTCTACATTTTCAGAATAGTAAGGGCTTGTTTCTGTACATGGTTACAGCATTAATACCAACAGCCAGTAGGCCACTGTGGCTATAGAAAATACTGACATACTTCCATGTCTGCCAATGCTTTTATTATTTCAAAATAATAAATAGAGCCGGGGGTCATAGTGCCTAGTAACATGGTGCCCACTCCAACCCAAAGGAATTGGGTGGGTGGACTTTAAAATAATTTGGAATGGACAGATCTCAGAAAAGATCACAGACCACACCCCTACCTCACCTGTTGTCAGTGGGTAGGGATATTAATTTAATAAATTGGGGAACATCCTAATGTAACACCTGCACCCATCTATAGTGAATTGATGGGACTACTTACTAAACGAGGAAGATCTCATGTCCCAAACCCAGTCCTACCCATTGGACTCTAGGTAGAGGCTTTAAGGGTAATCTAATGTCTCCCACCCCAGCTTCCATGCGTGGGTGGCTCATGGGCGGCAGATAGATGCTTTAATATTGTTAGTGGCCCCAGCCTCCCACCCTTGTGCAGCAGGTGGTAGCTCTAAAAATGATTATACAATGGGGTAGAGAATACATGCTATTTTTCCACTGCCCAATAAGTGTCATGGCCCACACCCCAGGTGTCTAAATTAAATCAAACATATCAACTTCCCATACAACCTAATAATATTGAGCTAAGGCCCATTAAAATAATAACTGTAAAATTTAAAACAATTATGCTTACCATCAGAAGTCTAAAACTTCTGAGCTTATTTGCGAAAAAAGCCCTTTAAAGCCATTCCTTACAAGCCAACCAATGAGAGCGCTCTGACTGATATTGCATAGCTAGAGAGAGGACCAGAGACCACAGAATCTTGATCCAAAGGGCTTTCTGTTGCTGTTAGCTATTTCACCTGACATTCAGCATGACACTATACACTTTAGTGAAATTTTCTTGGGGTGGTTTATGGATAATTTCAACTTTTTCCTCTACACTATACACTTTAGTGAAATTTTCTTGGAGTTTATGGATGATTTCAACTTTTTCCTCTATTATTTTTAAATCTACTGCTTTGCTTCTTATTCATATTTTCTCACTACTCCTTTGACCCCCTCAGTATATGAATTTCTGAATGCACATTGAAGTGGTCTGGGTGCAGTGTCCTTGTCTTATTTGGTTAGTTTTGCAATGCAGATCATTGCAGTTTTCAAGAAACTGCAATAATTACCAATCAGACAGCTACTAGAGAAAATATGGACTGTTGTGGGGGCCAGCAAAAGTCATTAACACCTTCTTTGATAAATGCAGTCAACTGAAGGAATACTAAATACTACTCGCCTGTATTAATGTAATCTATAATTAATGGTCACTCACTACAGCAGCAATGCAAGAACATGATTTACAATCCAAGTGGAATCTTTAAAAATATATATATATTAAAACCAAAATTACATGGCTCTTTAACTCATACAATAATAATTTTAGTAGTAAAACAAAATGTTATTTACAAAATCTAAGCCCCTTTCAAACACCCCTCATCATTCCTTTATGTGTAGTTACACTTTTTATAATTGTTGTAGTTTATTGAACATTGCTTTACATCTGTTTTTCAGGTTTCTATTAATAATCAAGAACATTGGGAGGAGGTTATGGCTTCCAAAGGACTCATTGGTAAGGAGCAGAGGAACTCTCACTGATAGGATGCGTGTTCCCCCGAAATGTGCATGCCAGTCTCTGCACTGCCATCCTGTCTCCTTGGCTGAGATCATCAGGATATCAATAGCTGCGTTTTTGGGGGGTATTTCTGGGGGAAGTGCCTCCAGCGCCTGTGAGAGTGACAGTCAGTAGAGGCATTTAACCCCTTAAGGACAAATGACATGTGTGACATGTCATGATTCCCTTTTATTCCAGAAGTTTGGTCCTTAAGGGGTTAAACCCTACAACCAAAGTACTCTGCCTCAATGTTGTAAAACAGTGACTTCATTGCTAGTCCATCAGTGTCTGAACAAAATGATGTTTGTTATTCTGTTTATATATTCCTCTGGCAAACTACAAGGCCACAACTACTAATTAGTTCATAGGAATATGTGCTCAAAGTGACCTTTAAATTTTAAAATAAAAACAAAATAATTTGATCATATGACTGATTCCTTTCTGTTTCCTTTTATAGTGGTGGATGTTTATCAAACTTGGTGTGGTCCATGTAAAACAGTAGTCAGCTTGTTCCGAAAAATTAAAAATGAACTGGGAGATGACCTTCTGCAATTTGCAGTGGTAAGCTTCAAATCATTCAAGATTCTCACAGCATTTGTATATCCACTTAGAATGTTTTTTCTTGTCATTACTTTTAATTATTTTAGTTATTGTTTTTTTGTTTTTTGTTTTTTATTTGTAGTTTTGAAGCGGTGCATGTTACATCAGACATTTCTAGACTTTGTTATGGCTGTATCATATAGTATGTCATATATGCAGTTGCTTGTCGTAGTAATTGCGTACAGAATTCATCCAAACAGTTTCCATTGTAAACAGATACAGTGCATGGCCTTACATGGCCCTATCGTCAGTAGGATGTCGGTTCGGTGAAACCATTGCACCTTTTTTTTGTTTTGGATATATATATCATAACACAACAAGTATAGTGATAACATAATAATACTTAATGGGGAATAGAGAAAAAAGAGAACGGGGGGTGATGTGGAGGAGGGACGAAGGGGGGGGTGTTGTCAAGGTATTCAGTTGCACATTTGTCTATGTTAGTCAACCTCTATGTGTGTGGTGTTCTAGGGCTTGTTTCGCATTGGCAGTCTGGTTCCTTACTGTTTGAGGATGATTCGACTTTGTGTGTGTCCCACATTTCCCAGGCCGTTACCC